CTAGCAACGATACAATGGCGTACAAAGACTTACAATGAGTCAAGCATCCGTCACTCGATTTCCATTTTGATTGATTGTTTGATTGATAGATTGATAGATCGATACATTGTGAGTGAGTGAGTGAGTGCCTGTTTCACTGGTATGTCCGGATCTGGGTACGGGTCACCGGCTTAGCGTCACCGATCTAGATATATCTATGCAGGAATAGGTCATCCATGCGGATAGCGTAATGTCGTAACTGCTTTCGGGCGTCCAAAGCGACCCTGATACAGTTACTAAATGTATTGCCGTTCCTGGTCCTTGTGGTCAATTACGCCCTGGCATTGCCACTCGTCTTGTCCGCCGCGGCTCGGCTCCGCCCAGGAGTGATAGGGCGAACGACGCTTACTCAAAGTTGTCTCTATCCGCATTCACACACGCATAATAAAGAAACGCAACACCAGTTTATACTCACATAGTTTTACTTACTCTCAGCCCATCTATCAATACAAGACAGGATCAGACTGGCCAGACTCGTCACTAGCTGGGGGAAACTTAGAACGATCGGGATTCGACTCGATCGATTGCAAACCGCGCTCTCTTCTTTTAATGTTGAAGGTATCATTTTATAGTGTTCGAGTCTGGCCTGTCCTTGTCACATGTCATAATACCTCATTTTGATTCGTTAAAAGTTAGATCTGACCATGAACTCATGTGTGTCGTAATCGGAAAAATACAGAAGCCGACGTGCCATATTGCTCATCTCTCTATTGATTTTGTGACACGCATCCGGAAGCTCCAAATGAAATATACCTTGAAACTCTCTATTTGTTTCATTAACTAATGGACGATAGCCAGGAACCAATCCAATGATAATGATGAAATGTCCAGAATACACTTGTGATAAATGTGAAATGTCTTTTATCTATTGATTCCTTTCAAACTAAAAGTTCTGTCACAAACTATATCTAATGCAACTCCTCATTGCAGCTATAATGGTTTTATTTGTTATCATGTTCTAATGTTTTTGAGATGCATTTTTAACCTGATAACAGTAATCTCGATTAATGTATTGAGGAACCTTTCGTGAACAACATTTATTGAAAATGCTACCGAAGAATGAAACAACTTTAAGATTTGGCTTCTGTGGTGGAATCATTCTAATATTTCACATAACCGTTAACGTACTTCTTGAATGTTGTCACGCCATTCATTCAGACAGATCTCGAAGATATGTTAATATCTATGCGAGGACAGCGGATTAGATATCGCGAGGCCGGTTCACAATCCGTAAAAGCCTGTGATATGCCATGAATAGCCCATTGCATCTCCTGTACAAAGACTTTCTTTTGTACGTGTTGTCACAGAGCCACAAACTTAGGTCAATGGATCAGATAAAATCAGGACTGCTGGAATCGGTTGAGGTGAACTTCCCATGACATAAACTCCTACTTGACAAGCGCTTTAAGAAAGTGCCGCCATTCTAGTGAGGCCAGTATCGCCACCTAGTGAGATATAATGGAAGAAGACCAACCGAGAGTTGAATCTTGATATAGTCCGGTGCCATCTGCAGAACCTTGGTTAGCAATGGCACAGTAATTTATAGGGAGTTTATGTGAGTCGGATTTTACGCCGCCTTAGCAATATTACAGCAATATGACGGTGGGGAATTCCCACATTGTGCCTATGATATGCAGAGAATCGAACCTGGACTTTCGAACCTGAACAGGGGGATAGATGATGGATTTAACAAGTAAGGTCATCTTGAGCGGGACGGTTTTCATAGGCAATAGATGGATTAGCATATGAACTATGATTCTCTTTAGGTAGAAAAAGATCCACGATGTTCGACCTGGTAGAAGTGTGTAATAAAGCCGCACAGCATTGGTCTTTGATTGGCGGTGGCGTCAAAACAAACTCATTCATGTACTTGATCTGAATGTTCATCTTAATTGTTATGGATAGTCACGGAGCCGTGATCCAGAGAACAGGGTGTCATTAGATAAAAATGAAGTAATAGTAGGATTACCAGAAAAACGGGGTATAACACCCAAGCCAATAACATCCCCTCAGGAACACCAGTGTAAGTCAGTACAGGATTGAAAACTGCCCCATAAGTATGTATTACAGGCTAGTCGGGTATTGCTACTTGTATATATGAAAACAAAGTTATTAAAATTAATAGCAAAACTGATGAAAGTCACCAATAAACGTGTATAAGTGTTATATCGTCACTGCAAAAATAATGAGTGTTGTCTTTAGTATTAACATTCAAATACGTGATATCTGTATTAGCGATATTGTCTACGTTCCACCGGTGAGTAAGCGTTAGCCCTACTATCTCGTAGTATACATGTTTCAAGAAATTGTATTTCTGAAGATATCACGATACAGTTTTTTTACGAAGCATCACGTCTGCACCAGCGCGTGATAACAACCTTGTGTTTGGGTGTTTCAGTAGTTTAAATTGCTGTTCTTGAGGTTGTTGAATAAACTTTGATACTATGAACAATATAAGGTTATATGAGAGTATGACTTCAGAATGGTAACATGCGTTAATATATATATATATATATAATATGATGTCATAAATAGAACAATGAGTAGTACGTCCAGATTAGAACACAATCGTCCGGAATACAATGTATAATTCTAGTGCACTTCCATGTGACTATATAGCATACAATAAGCTTTCGGGTCCCGTTTGGGTCGGTTTGGGTGGCAGCTTAGATATCCATAGAGTAGGTTCATCTCGGAATCTCCTCTTCAATTGAAATGGAGGTACTTGTTTCTTTCAAAACTATACAGTTTTAGAGACTAAGCATTAGTCTGAATAGATATCACCAGTTTGGAATTTGAAACTAATCTGTTTACAGTAACAGAACACTGTTTAAGCGTCATGTACAAATGAGAAAGTGGAATCGCGTCAATTAGGCGGACGAACCTTAAAACTATTAATAAACATTAAATTAAGCAATATCGGGAAAATGTATATACATATACTATCTGGCAATAAACACCAATATCACCTTCTACAAAAATAAGTTTTAAAAAAGCCGGTTGATATTCTTTTGCGTATTTGACGATTATATAACTTTCGAAAGTATAAATCATTTTCCTATACTCAGACGTTCCTGAGCCTTGCGCCTTCCTAATTATTTTGACTAAAATTATTACCGTTATCATTGTATTTGTTAATGGGAAATACGCGCCGATCAAGTACGTGCCATAAATTAAAGTGACATTGTACGATTCCGAACTCATCACGAGACTGTGTTTATGAATCATTGTCAAATAGTGGTGACATATAGTGGAAACAATACGCGATATCGCGCATGCACAGAACGGAAAATATGGACAAGGCATGTGCAGAACGATTGATTTCAGTACTACCGCTAAGCGCTTCGAGTACAGCGTCAAACTCGGGCCTCTAATCTAACACGCGAGAACTGACCAATGAAATCTGAGAAGTAGGAATACCGAGGAATACCGGTAGACGGTGTTGCTTGATTGACAATGCCAATCAAGAAAGGGAGGAGCTTGATAATATCGTTCTCTCCCAGTAAATTCCGATGTCAAATAACGACGTTATTTGGACGGAAAAACGATGGTTTGAAAGCTTCCAAATAACGTCGTTTTCCCGTCCAATGACCATATACGGAAAAAAACGACGTTTTCGTGTTTGCAGTGGGATACTGATATTTTTCTAACCTTGGAAAGCAACACAACCCATGAAATCAGTCACAATGTTTATGACAATACCAGGTGTTTGTGAAACCTGGTTTATCATCCAAAACAAGAGATATCGCTTGGGTGAAATTACATCACAATGCTTTACAGACCATTGTGACGTCAATAATGGCAGTACTTTGTACACTTAAGACACTGCTAATTTACTGTCTACAAACTGAAAAAGTTGGAAGAATAATGTTGGATGATAAATAAAATCTCACCCTCGTGCCTTACAATTGTCCTCGTTGATATATTTGATATGAAAAGACACTCGTGTGAGATTCTCTATATATTGCATGATATCAATAGTGCATGAATATCATGAGTTTTCATGAGGTTACAAGTTTAGGTCGAAAACTTGTGCACACGTAAATATGTGAATAAAACAATGGTCAAACACAAAGCTCTAGGTTTAAATCACGAAAGTCAATACGAAAGTCTTGAAAGAGGCATGTGGAAGGAATCAGGTGTTATCTGATAGGTATACCTCATGTATGTTTGTATGATTATTTAAAAATGTGAACCCATTAAGACTCATCTCACCTAGACAGGGGAGTTAAGTGTCTTTGAAAGTCACCAGTGGCTATTATGAACTATGTCCCTTCTGTATCCCTCTTATTGACCAATCAGGTTCCACCTCTCATGTAACTTGTATTTGCTTCTAACAAATCGTAATATAACGGGTCTTACCTCGCTAAATTGATCATATCACTTAAGCACTTTGATAAATAAAACATGAAAAGACTGGTAAAATATCCGTCCAAACCCAGTTGATGGTACACCTGCTCTGCAAATCCTGCAATTGACTGAAATCTGCACCATAGTCGCCAAGTTGTTTATAAACCGGATGTCGATTTCGTTACTCTATTTTGACTGTACTATGCATATATTCATTAGTCCAGCATAAATTAAACTCCATTATTTTTTTTTATTTTTATAGCCAGAGATGACACATCTTCAATATTTTAAAATCACACATAAAACATGTAGAATACCGCTGAAATTGTCTCTTAGTTTTCTATTGAATTTTAAATGACTGTTTTATTTCTGTCTCACAATAACCAAATCAGAATGAAACCGTTGAATGTAACGTAGAAGTCCATATATGACTGACATATAGCCAATGCGACATTAAATTTTGACTTTTCATTGGACAATCACTTTCTTTGATAACAAATAATTGAAAGAAAAAATAGGATTAACATGCTTAACATAACACATTGCTAGGAAACACATAGACACGAACGACTGTTTCGTAAATTTGTTAATGTAGTAAAATATCATTGCAGTTGAAGAATTGAGAGGCATCCACATCGAGGCACCTACCATTCTATGAGGACATAAAGAACTCGAGTAGAGGACCTTGGCAACCACGTGGACATGGCCAGTTCAGGTGTTGCCCATAAAGCCATCGGGAGTTCAGACGAGGAAGAGGAGGACCCTAGAGACAACATGGCCATTGCCAGATCGACAGAGCATGGACCTGACCCTGGAGACAACACGGCCATTGCCAGACCGACTGAGGGTGGACTTGACCCTGGAGACCATACGGCAAATGCTGTATCAGGGAGTCAATCTTTCGTCTCCAGGCCAAGGCGTGGTATGTGTTCAGAATCATTCTGCAGCCCCTGTCTGTGTTTATAGGACTTGCGCTTCGTGGGAGTGCTTTGTCTTGATTATTATGGCTGGTGTTCTCTCATCTTCCCGAGACAAGAGAGTTAACTGACTTTAAAACTCCAGTTTCCACCCTTGCCGAACTAGGCTGGAATTACTGGGCTCGATCGTAGCGCTCCCAGTGGCTATTACCAGTTATGTCCTTTCTAAGCCTATCCTATGGACCAATCAGATTCCAACTCTCGTATCACTTGCGTTTGCTTCACACAAAATGGTTGCGCCCGGTCAGGACGATCTGATCGATAATCAAGATCTATATTGTCTTACATCGCGAAATGCATCAAATCACGCGAGCACCTCAATTAAAAACATTAGAAGATTTGGAAAATATCTGCTGACAACGAGTTGGCGGTGCACATGCTTTGCAAATCCTGCAATCGACCGAAATCTGAACGACAGTTAACAAACCGGCTTTCGATTTCGGTGCGCGATTTTGATTGGACTATGCATACACATGTTAGTCCAGCCAAAATGTAACTCCATAATACCAGCCTAGTAGATCACTACATGTATTTGATAGTTGTGCCAAGGCCACTTGACATCCCGTGTATGTGTGACAAATGAGAGGCATGAATAAAATGGTGCCAATGTCTAAACTCTTTCTTTGAGCAAACTGTATGAGACTAATGCTGAGCTATTATTCCAAACATTCCAAATTTTATACAATTGCAAGGTTCCAGAATAATTAAGAAATGGGTCAATCTTTCATTTTACTGGCTTGGCATCAAACATTCAGTTCTCATGCTGATTAACAAATAGCACGGACATATGCATACCTCTTTGTTTAACATTAATTACCAATATAACATTAACACACTTTGCACATTGAATGAAAGATATAGCAGTGGATTCGCGTTACTGATTAAAAATGTCATAAAACAGAAGTTTTGAATTTCCTTGGATCAATACGCAAAAGTTACATGGACAGCATCTTACTAGTTTAGGTGCAATGGCATCGATTATCTAGCAAAAGATACACCTACTACCGTGGTCCCATTTGAGGTATCAAACTATGGAGTTGGTTATTGAACATCATCGTTGATTTGTTGCCAGGTGGTCCAGCCAGGGGCATTATTGTTGCCAACTCGAAGTACGTCAACATCTCCACTGGGCAGATGGTACCGGGGACTGTCGGAGAAGGTGAGTAAAAGTACAAGATCTAGTCCTAACATCATGACACCTACTGCTTCAAAACTTCAGGGGACAGTTCCTTAGTTCATATCCATGATCTAAATGTAAAACCTCCAAAGCCACAATGAGCACGTGGGAATCCAGGTAAAATATACCAGCCACATAAAGAAACTGTGCACGGAGAAAATATATTCTGGATTGAAATACAACACAGCAAGAACAAAATGATGCAGACGCTGTAGCAGCTGAATGATCGGACCATAATAAAATGTCAACGGGACCTGAACAACATCTGTTACGATGACGTCAGAAGATCAAAATGGAGTAGGGATCAAACGACAAAGTCACAAAGTCAATAACGGGTATGACCACCCTGTGCGTGAATCACAGCAGTGCATCGGCGGCGCATGGAGTCCACCAAATGGGCATGGAAGGCCTTGGGAATGGCCTGCCATATCCTCCTCAAATCCTGTGCCAAGTCACGGACGTTATCTGGAGGATGTGGAAGACGACGCAGACGGCGCTCCATTTCATCCCACACATGCTCTATTGGGGAGAGATCTGGAGAATTTGCAGGCCATGGCAGTAACATGACATTGTTATGGTGAAGGAAATCCATTGCGACCCTAGCCGTGTGAGGACGAGTGTTGTCCTGTTGAAATGTCAATCCCGGGCCATGACGTTGCAGGAAAGGAATGACCACAGGCCTCAGAATCTGATCTCTGTGATTGCCCTGAACAACCACCAAAGGGGTTCGGTGCCGTGCTGTTATCCCACCCCAAATCATCACAGAGCCACCTCCAAAACGATTCCTCTCCACAATACAGTTGCGTGCATAACGTTCTCCCAAACGCCGGTAGACATGTTGGCGCCCGTCACTGTGGGAAATGTTGAACCTCGATTCATCTGTAAAGACAACATTTCTCCACCATATTCGAGGTTGGCGAACATGATTTCGACACCATCTTAGACGGTTGACTCGATGACGGTGTGTCAGGATGGGACGTATGGCAGGGCGTCGTGGTCGAATCCCGTACTGGCGTAAACGATTCCTGACAGTGTTGGGATGGATACGGCGCAGTCCAAGAATTGTCTGGGACGTCGTTACTGCCGTTTGGAACCTGTGTCGGAGATGTGTAACTCGAATTCATCTGTCCTGTCTTGGCGTCGTTACTCGGGGACGTCCTGAACGTGAGTGGTCGGCAACGTCATTTGTGTTCTGATAACGCCTCACCAATGCCGATATCGTGTTACGATGGAATTGGAAATGTGTTGCCACCTGTTGTTGCCTCATTCCCGCTCGGATCATTCCAATGGCTTCATGACGCTGTGCAGCTGTTAATCTCGGCATGATTTGCTTGTGATATGCTTGTGTCTGCGCCTGAGAAGTTTTGAATTTTTGAATGACCACAGATCATGCTTTCCAAAGTGACAGCGAATTGTGAGTTGCACATGCTGTGTACAGCTGCACAGGATGCACGTGCAGTAACACATTGCACGTCCATAGGCCCCCATCAATGACGTCATATCGCATGGCACGTGCATGAGCGTTTGAATGTCTCCAATAATTGCTGTGTTCAAACCTATATTTCATATATGGACGGTGTGCCCTTATATCTATATTTTCTCCGTGCACAGTTTCTTTATGTGGCTAGTATATGTGGATCGTTGCTCATAATATGAATTACTGGATTGACTCGAACATTTACTGGCCAGGCATAATGTTGCTGGAATATTGCTGCGTTAAACAACAAACACACACGCAGATATTTGTTTAAGCATTTGTAGAGCTGTGATGCACAGGGTTTTTATTTATGTGATCAGAATATTAAAGAATTCTTAGTCAAGTCTTTCTCAAGTTACGGATGAAATATTTGATAAATTGTCCAGAATATGACTAATGATAAATTGTTCTACTTTATGTTTTGCCTTAACCATTTGGCCAATTACCAATCAATGTGATAAATCTCAGTATATACATCAACGTTCATTAGTTTATGTCCTATATATGCATATACAATATCTTGTTTGTCCATAGATACTCTCGAACTACGCCTTAGAGAAGCAAAGAAAATATTTGTTAAAACGGAAATCTACAGAAAGATGAACCGAAAAGTAAAGCAGTTTGGTCATGTGACCATCATCGGTGCCTCTGGAGAAGGGAAGACAACGATGGCTCTGATGTTGAGTTTACGTTATAGAAACCGAGGCTACCAGGTCGTGTTTGTGGACAGCATTGAGAAGTTTGACTTGGACAGCTGCCTCAGTTCTACACCAAGAGTATTTCTTATCATTGATGACTTGTTTGGCACTGTTGGTTTGTCCACCAATGTTCAACTGATTAAAACATTTCTAAACGATCTTATGCTCCAAATAGACCTCTGCAAACAGTCCCATGAACAAATGCTGTCAGTTTGGCAAGATGGAGGTAAATCGAGTCATGATGACAAAAGTAAAGGCCCAACAAAGGACATTCGTGTCATTTTCACATCAAAGTCATACAACTTTCATGATGGACTTGCACAACTGCACTCTGCGTCTATTTCACTGTTTGGGGAACAAACAATTATGAATATCACTTTACATGATGTAAACTGTCTTTCTCCAGCAGAGAAACAGGAAATATATGAGAGACATATGAGCATGCTAGATGAATGCTCCAAAGCTGACTTACCTGAATACAATGATTTGGAAACAGATTCAAACCTATTTGGATTTCCCCTTATATGTAAACTTGCTTCTTTTTCAAAAAATGTCAGAAAGCTTTTCAAGGAACCCTTGTCTTATTTGAGGGAGGAACTCAATGACATAATTACTTCTAAGAATGATAGATCTGGTGTGTTAGTCCTGATGTTATTGTGTGAAGACAGATTAAAATTGACAACGTTAGAAAGCGAGGATGAGGACCAGGACGTGGATACGAAAGTCAAACATGTGATAGGTCTCATGCCTACCGCTACACGCTCTGGGATGTGCCAAGCAGCAAGAAATTTCCGAGGTACATACTTCACAAGAGGAGACACTGTAGGCTTTGCTCATTCTTCAATCTATGATGCGTGTGCCTGTGTCTTATATAATGTCAATCCAAGTTTTGTTTTGAAGCATTGTAGTGAAGATTTTCTGTACGAGCGTGTACAACAAGGAACAGTACAAGAAACCAAAGTTGATGAACATCTTCACTTGATTTCCGTCTCTGAAGTGTATCATGATCTCCTTACCACACGGCTTGCACATTCTCTAAAGCAAGGACATTTTTCTAAGTCAGTTACACATCCAATTCTGAAGCAAGACAAACTAGCTAAACAACTTCTTGAAAGATTACACTTTGATGGGACGAGACATGATTCCACAGGCAATGCCTGGTTTCATCAAAGAGAAAAAGGAAAATGTGTTTTGTATTGGGCTGTTCTTGGACATAATCCATATTTGGTTACAAATGTTGAGAACCAAACTGGAGAAGTGTTTACACAAGACGAGATCAGAGAGGGTATGGAAGGTTGTGCCCAAACAAACAACGTGACATTACTAAAATGGCTACTCTCCAGGAGTGATGAGCATGACCGGATCAACAGACTGAACAGGCTCATGTTTTCAGCAGCAGAAAATGGAAGTACTGAAACACTGTTGTATCTGCTGAAGGAAGGAGCGAAACCCCATACTTGTGACTCGATGATGCAAAACATCTTCCATTTGGTATGTAGATCACGACATGAAAACACACTCCAGGCACTGCTAAATGTATCGGTAAACAAGCAAGTTATAGATAGTATTGATATTAATGGCCACACCCCTCTAATGGTTGCAGCCATGAAAGGATCAGAGGAGTGCTTCAAGCTGTTAACACCATTCTCAAATATTGGTGTTCAAGACATGTACGGAAATAGCCTAATTCACCTTGCTTGTCACGGAGGAAACATTTCCATTGTTAGACACCTGCTACCATCCTTTGACATCAACAAAGCTGGAGTGAAGGGATGGACACTGATAATGGTTGCAGCTGTCACTGGACAGAGAGATGTGTTTGATCTCCTGAAATCAAAGGAGGCGGACCTATCGCTGTTTGATACAACTGGTGCTAGTTTACTCCATCATGCCTGTCAGGGGGGCAACATGGCTATTGTACAACATCTCCTGTCAGATTCTGACATCAACAAATCAGGACTGCATGGATGGACACCGATAATGGTTGCAGCTCTCTTTGGACACAAACGAGTGTTTGACATTCTAGAATCAAAGGGAGCGGACTTATCGCTGTTTGATACAACTGGTGATAGTTTACTTCATCTTGCATGTCATGGAGGCAACATGGCTATCGTACAACATCTGCTGTCAGATTCTAACATCAACCAACTGGGAATGGTAGGATGGACACCAATAATGGTTGCAGCTATCAAAGGACACGAAAGAGTGTGTGACTTCCTGGAATCAAAGGGGGCGAACCTATCGCTGGTTGATACAACTGGTGATAGTTTACTTCATCTTGCATGTCATGGAGGCAACATGGCTATCGTACAACGTCTGCTGTCAGATTCTAACATCAACCAATTGGGAATGGAAGGATGGACACCAATAATGGTTGCAGCTGTCAAAGGACACCAAAGAGTGTTAGACCTCTTGGAATCAAAGGGGGCGGACCTCTCTCTTGTTTCTTCATCTGGTAGTAGTTTACTTCATCTTGCCTGTCAGGGAGGCAACAAGTCAATGGTACAATATCTTTTGTCAGATTCTAACATCAACAAAACACGAATGGATGGATGGACACCGATAATGGTTGCAGCTGTCAGTGGAAACAAAAGTGTGTTTGATCTCCTGGAATCAAAGGGGGCGGACCTATCGCTGGTTGATACATCTGGTGCTGGTTTACTTCATTTTGCCTGTCAGGGAGGCAACTTGGCTATTGTACAATATCTGCTGTCAGATTCTAACATCAACCAAAGAGGACTGCATGGATGGACACCGATAATGGTTGCAGCCTTCCTTGCTCACAAAAGAGTGTTTGACTACCTGGAATCAAAGCGCGCAGACCTCTCTCTTGTTTCTCCATCTGGTGCTAGTTTACTTCATCTTGCCTGTCAGGGAGGCAACAAGGCTATTGTACAACATCTCCTGTCAGATTCTAACATCAACAAAACAAAAATGGATGGATGGACACCGATAATGGTTGCAGCTGCCAGTGGACACAAAAATGTGTTTGATCTCCTGGAATTAAAAGGGGCGAACCAATCGCTGGTTGCAACATGTGGTGCTAGTTTACTTCATCTTGCCTGTCGGGGAGGCAACGTGGCTATTGTACAACATCTGCTGTCAGATTCTAACATCAACAAAAGAGGAATGAATGGATGGACACCGATAATGGTTGCAGCTCTCTATGGACACAAAAGCGTGTTTGACCTCCTGGTTTCTAAGGGGGCGAAGCTTTTGCTGGTTGGTACATATGGTGATAGTGTATTTCATCTTGCCTGTCAGGGAGGCAACAAAGGTATCATATTACATCTTTCCCGTCTATTATGTCACAGGAACGTCGATGAATACATGTGATGTAGTTCACCTCAACTCAAGGCCTCCACAATCTATATGATTCATCTGGAAACCGTTTATCTCCATCGCCCCAATTCCGTCTAAACTGGAGCCACAGTAATTCATCTTGCCTGTCAGGGAGACAACATGGCTGAAACATCTGCTGTCAGATAAACTGCAGAATTGTCCCTGAAAGGCGCGCATTGGTATCAACAAACATCAAAAGAAACAATGATGAGATAATGTTCATTCTGCTCAGTATGCTATCAAATGCTGACATCAATATAAAATATCGATTTGGAAAACTTTAGTTACGTTTTGTGACGTAAAGGGTGCTAGTTTCCTAGGGACAAATAAAGCATTCTGCATGAAAGTATCTGTTAAGCATGAAACTGAGGGACGTTTTTCATTCTCTATTGCAATTGCCATGGATTGTTGAGACAGCAGACCCGTCCCTCAAGGAAATTTGACACGGGTCAGTCAGTATCGACAGTGGAGCCCTTGGTTTGGTAGCAGACATTCAAACTTGAGAGACGTCAGGCCGACAGAGTGTGGTGGACACTGAGTACAGAAGTTGTGCCTGAGTGAATGATCAGTGAAGTGCATTTGCCAGACTGATGTTGCGTTTTAATGTTTCCAAAGTGTACTTATTTCACTGATGTTACGTACTGGTGAATGATTCCAAAGTGTATTTACTGAACTGATGTTGCGTTTAGATGAATGTTTCCAGAGGGTATTTACTGAACTGCGTTTTCATACTAGTGAATGCTTCCAAAGTGTGTTTACCGATTTGACGTTGCGTTTTGGTGAATGTTCCCAAAGCTTGGCCACTACGTTGATGCTGCGTGCTCATGAATGCTTCCAATGTGTTTTTTTCCATAGTGTATTTACTGAACTGCTGTTGCATACTAATGAATGTTTCCAAAATGTATTTACTAAATTGATGTTACGTTTCAGTGAATGTTTCGAAAGTGTATTTAATGGACTGATGTTGCAGTCATGCACTGTAGCGTACAAGTAGCGTGTATGTACTCAACTGCTGTTCCATTTCCGTGATTGTTTCCAAAGTATATTTAGTAACTGTTGATGTGTTTTGGTGAATCTTTGCGAAGCTGCTTGCTTCCAAAGTGTATTTAGGACACTGGCACGCCAGAAACCTAGGATCACGGGTTTGAATCCCGGTGCGCTTTGATTATGTTTCAAACTGATGAATGCCTCCAAAATGTATTTACTGAATTGATGTTGCATTTTCGTGAATGCTTCTAAAGTGTATTTACCAAAATTGATGTTGCGTTTTCTTGAATGCTTCTAATGTGTATTTACTGAATTGATGTTGCGTTTTCGTGGATCCTTCTGAAGTGTATTTACTGAATTGATGTTGCGTTTTCTTGGATCCTTCTGAAGTGTATTTACTGAATTGATGTTGCATTTTCTTGGATGCTTCTGAAGTGTATTTACTGAATTGATGTTGCGTTTTCTTGGATGCTTCTGAAGTGTATTCACTGAATTGATGTTGCGTTCTCGTGAATGCTTCTAAAGTGTATTTACCGAATTGATGTTGCATTTTCTTGAATGCTTCTAAAGTGTATTTACCGAATTGATGTTGCGTTTTCTTGAATGCTTCTAATGTGTATTTACTGAATTGAAGTTGCGTTTTCGTGGATCCTTCTGAAGTGTATTTACTGAATTGATGTTGCGTTTTCGTGGATCCTTCTGAAGTGTATTTACTGAATTGATGTTGCATTTTCTTGGATGCTTCTGAAGTGTATTTACTGAATTGATGTTGCGTTTTCTTGGATGCTTCTGAAGTGTATTTACTGAATTGATGTTGCGTTTTCGTGAATGCTTCTGAAGTGTATTTACTGAATTGATGTTGCGTTTTCATGAATGCTTCTGAAGTGTATTTACTGAATTGATGTTGCGTTTTCGTGAATGCTTCTGAAGTGTATTTACTGAATTGATGTTGCGTTTTCGTGGATGCTTCTGAAGTGTATTTACTGAATTGATGTTGCATTTTCTTGGATGCTTCTGAAGTGTATTTACTGAATTGATGTTGCGTTTTCGTGGATCCTTCTGAAGTGTATTTACTGAATTGATGTTGCATTTTCTTGGATGCTTCTGAAGTGTATTTACTGAATTGATGTTGCATTTTCTTGAATGCTTCTGAAGTGTATTTACTGAATTGATGTTGCGTTTTCGTGGATCCTTCTGAAGTGTATTTACTGAATTGATGTTGCGTTTTCGTGGATCCTTCTGAAGTGTATTTACTGAATTGATGTTGCATTTTCTTGGATGCTTCTGAAGTGTATTTACTGAATTGATGTTGCGTTTTCGTGAATGCTTCTGAAGTGTATTTACTGAATTGATGTTGCGTTTTCGTGAATGCTTCTGAAGTGTATTTACTGAATTGATGTTGCGTTTTCATGAATGCTTCTGAAGTGTATTTACTGAATTGATGTTGCGTTTTCGTGAATGCTTCTGAAGTGTATTTACCGAATTGATGTTGCGTTTTCGTGGATGCTTCTGAAGTGTATTTACTGAATTGATGTTGCATTTTCTTGGATGCTTCTGAAGTGTATTTACTGAATTGATGTTGCGTTTTCGTGGATCCTTCTGAAGTGTATTTACTGAATTGATGTTGCATTTTCTTGGATGCTTCTGAAGTGTATTTACTGAATTGATGTTGCATTTTCTTGAATGCTTCTGAAGTGTATTTACTGAATTGATGTTGCGTTTTCGTGGATCCTTCTGAAGTGTATTTACTGAATTGATGTTGCATTTTCTTGGATGCTTCTGAAGTGTATTTACTGAATTGATGTTGCGTTTTCTTGGATGCTTCTAAAGTGTATTTACTGAATTGATGTTGCGTTTTCGTGAATACTTCTGAAGTGTATTTACTGAATTGATGTTGCGTTTTCATGAATGCTTCTGAAGTGTATTTACTGAATTGATGTTGCGTTTTCGTGAATGCTTCTGAAGTGTATTTACTGAATTGATGTTGCGTTTTCGTGGATGCTTCTGAAGTGTATTTACTGAATTGATGTTGCATTTTCTTGGATGCTTCTGAAGTGTATTTACTGAATTGATGTTGCGTTTTCGTGGATGCTTCTGAAGTGTATTTACTGAATTGATGTTGCGTTTTCGTGAATGCTTCTAAAGTGTATTTACTGAATTTATGTTGCGTTTTCGTGAATCCTTCTAAAGTGTATTTACTGAATTCAGAGTTCAGATGACATGATTGTGTGAGTTATTTAATCAGCTAAACCTGTACTCAAGTAGAACTAGTTTGTAGACACGTGTTAGAGAAAACTAACTTTACTTAAATAAATAGTTAAACAATCTTGTTTGGGTTTTCATTACACTGAATCTAGCAGTAACGCACAGCATGATGATATATTTCCTCTCGGGAAATCTATCAGAGGTATGGCCTACAGTATTCCGGGCATGATTAAAAGAGGACAGCGTTCCTGCTGCTTTCATGGCAAATTATACAGTGCAAGACGCGGCGTTGGAGATCATAAAAAATAGTCGATCATGAGCATGTGTTTATGAATCACTATCAGATCGTAATGATAACAGGTGTTCGCGAAAAGGTGAGCGTATCCTTCCCCACCGGTGGCACCTGTCACAAACACATGCAAAAGCAAGTCAATTGTTCACCTGAAAAACACGGGAATATATGGTGCAAGTCAAAATAATGAATTTCTTCGGACATAATTTTTGTCACTGATGCCTCGAAGTTGGAAATGTACTCCACTTGTCTCCCATAAAACTTGTTGAAAGCTTTACTGTGGCTTTCTTTGTTGTAATCGTGATCAACCAACTTCTGATGAAGAATCGTATGACGCTCTTGTAAAGAGCATGCACGATCGTATCTCAAAAGTTGCCAAATATAAACACCAACGGCTGGAGCTCCTGGAATATTGCTCGACATGAAGGGGAGGTTGACTATAGGACAGTTAAAGTCATCCCTCTTGTCCTACAGTTTTGTGGAGAGTGATTTGTCACTCTAAATCTTTATGCATAGATCTAAATATGAAACAGATGAGGAGGTAAAGTTAACCCTGTGAAGTGATGTGTCAAAGTCAGGATTGTCTGTGATCAAAAGATAGATCAGTCGGACTGTAACAATGTAAACATTGTTTCAAACAAAACCTGTGGTGGGCGTAACAATGTACAGGCAAATTAACAATTGCCTGCACATATTGTTTCTATCTGCCTTCCGCTGCCTCCATCGGTAAGTGCTCTTTATAATCAAAAGGAAGCTACTCTAATCAGTGTTACGTCACGTTAGTTTAAAGTCTGCGAGACATATCCCAACATTACAAATGCAGAGTCAGGATTAATTGAAACAAATTGCCACATTTCTATCAAATCTAATTGTTTTAATGTTTGGGGAAAGACCCGAGCCGCAGAGGTCTACAAGCACAGATGTGGAACTGATCCTGCTAGGCTTGTGTCTCAGCTAAGTTGTTTTGCAATTTATGTCTCCAAGGGCAACACACTTGTTAAATGCCTCAGCTAAGTTCCAGTTAGACAGTGATCTTCAGCATGTCAGACTATTGTTTTGATATCCCAGTAATATAAGTTTAACTGTTAATATTTTTCAGTTCTATTTTAGACGAAGGACAGTAAAAATTCAAATATGTCACAGATTCAAATAACGCATACTTGTACAATTCTATAGACTGACATGAGGATGACTACCTAAGCTAGATCATCTTCGAGGGCGTCGTAAACTGACATTACTTGGGGCGTATTCATATCAAATCTTAGAGTGCTTTATACAAATTCTAGAAAATACCAGAAGTTATTTTTCTTGAGTCAATTCCATAAATACAATTGTGAATTATCTTAGTCAATGTATCATAATTCTGAGATTGCTTTTAGAATCTTCATGAATACGGCCCCCGGCTGTCTACGGGTGGTTGTTCTACCCCCTGAACCTAACTATAAAGAGTGATACATAGCGCCGAGGTAATGTTGTCACAGCTACATTATCAGTCTGTTTAAAGTAATGAAGTTAATTAAAAATGCACCTTCTGAGTGAGCTTAAAGTATTAACTTGAGCCATCAATACATTGTTGAATGCATTTAAAATGACAATGCTTTGATACCAAACATCTATACAAAATATCAAAGAAGCTTTTCAGATGTAGGTTGTTTATTTTATCAAATAATCGCCCACAGGAGGTCGTCAAATCTATTTAATCTTGATCGTACTTATTGCCACCTGTAGGACGCATTGTTGATATCACTTTAAAGCAACAATGTAATGATTACAAACACACATGTATCATAATTATCACCTGGATGTCTCAGGTGCAGATTGATCGTTTTCTAAAATCGTCAACTCTGGCCATTGTCGAGGGAAGATGAAAAATGCTTGGTTGAAGATATTCTCATATTGATTTATGTCAAGAAGTAGAGAGTCAATGGAGGACGTTGACGCAAAATCGGCCAAGTGGCACATTGTAATCACCAAGATTAGTCGGCGCATGACACAACCACGAAGTGACTGTTCTCACTGGAATACCCAAGAGGGTCCTCACTAATGTCTACTTGTCTTTACAACTTCTCCTCTGAAACCATTCCAATAATGAAGTCTAACAATCGTGTCAAAAAATTACAATCGTCACGGAAGCCTTATACTTTCAACCGTTTTGTTTATTGATACTTTATATATGCTAGTCTATCATGCCCGACAGGAGACACGACTGTACAAACTGAACAGCTTGTTTGTTTGAAGACACGTGTTCATTCAATCATGTGGTCACATTCTTTATAATTTCTGTTCCTTTCACAGTTCGTTTTGCATTGATACGTAATGTAATTGCATACAGCTGAAGTTTGTTTAATTTGGTGTCGAGAGAGTTCATAAACTCATATCAACCAAACTTAGAAGTAATATAAGTGCACTGGGACACTTTAATCTTGTGATCATGTTCACATTGAACTTTGATCGAAACCCCCCTGAAAGTAAAGTCAGCCATCTGTTTCAATGAGAAAGACTTTGTACATGTTAAAACAAGATTGTCAGTGCCAGGGGTGAAGTCACATGGACTCGACCACGAATGAGTGTTTCACAAAAGGCAATAACAGTCATGCGCATGAGGATATTACTCTGGTAGGAGATGTAAGCACACAAGATTTATTGAAAAATGACTGCGATGTTTATTTTCGTTGAAGATTAAGAGGATTTCCAATAATGTCTGACATTTTGAAAGCGATGTTCG